TAAATGCCCTCCTCTTGTTTACAACTATTCTTATGCTGATGTTCCTATTTTCCAGTCATGGAGTGTACCTGAAAAAAGCAATTGCTTATGTCCATAGATGTGAATTATTCTGACAGGGAATGCTGATTAGACAGGGGATAAGTTCACCATGAGCTGGTTTGCTTTGTGTTTCTTTTGAATGAGCTTTCTAAGGAACTGTGTCAAGTGCTGCACAGAATCAGTGGAGAATGTTCACATGAACAATAGAATAAGCTTCAACAGTGCTGGCCTTGATATTTTGGTTGGTTGTATGCCTTTGTGATAGAGATGAATTGGAAATGAGGGCTATTCCAAATATTCAAAAAGACAAATTGAGATTTGTGGCACTTTCCATGCTGACGAGGCACAATACAAATTTTAAGTATTTTCACAGTACCGTGACCTCACTGTATTCAATCATTATAGTACTTTTATTATCATATACCATGGTAAACATTATCACATCCATTCCATTCAACATAAATGTAAAGATAAAATTAGGATCAACTTCCCATAAAAGAATTGTAACTCCTAGACATGGTGTGTGTTTTTCCCTGATACTTACATAAAGGGTTGCTATCCAAGATTTTGCTTATTATTCCTTGAACAGTTTAGAATAGTGTATTGCACAAATGACAGGAAAGGACTCTTAATTTACTGCCGTTTTGTATTAGTAGATTGGCAACAAAAAACAATTGTCTACACAAAAGCAAAACACCTTGTCCATTAGGGCTACTGAACCCAATAATCAGTAACGTGATCCGCTTTATGAAATGAAATGTTTCTAGGAATGAATTGTTTTAAATTGCATGAAATATTCGAATGTTTACCATATATCTCGATATAGTCAGTTCTGGGAATTGATGTGAAATTATGAAATTACCAAAATACCAGTTGTTTCGGAACTATAAAACTCCTATTTTTTAAAATATAGAATAAAGGAACTTTAAGGATGTATTTAGCCTGAAAAATACTTTGAAATAATAACACTCCACAGGGCCTCCACACAATACCTCTGACTATCATGATCGCAGTAGCAACGTCTCAGACAGCCTAGTGGGATTCCCTGTGGCAGGGCTGCAGACTAATCAGATTTCACAGTACATCTTTAATGACTCTGATGACTTCCCTGTTATTCTTTGGGAAGAGACAAGAATTGCTCCAGCTGTTGACAATACTAATCTCATGCTCAGCTGTGTGTCTGAGAATGAAACCAGCAAATCCTCAAAGACTAGAAACTTCTTGTTAATGAAAGCTTAACGTTTGTTTGTTTTTCTAGCACCTTTCATACAGCAGTATATAAACACTCTTCACAGATACAATTACAACAGACGGCAAAATAATAAGAACCGTTATAAATAAAAAAGCAATATTTATATATAAAAGGGTAAACCCAAGCCACAGCAGCCATAAGCAGACTGGAGAGCATGTATCTTCCCCTGGATAGGACACCATTCCCTGTGTCTGTATATATGTTCTGCCTATGGAGTATTGGACTAAAACAGGGATTGCACTCCTGTTATGTATGCTCTGACATCTCTGTGATGCTTAGCTGCTTTAGAAATTACTTTGTAAACTAACAAATCGTCAGGTTATTATCACCCAAGATTTATGGACTTAATGTTGTGTACATTAAGACAATGCTTTCAGCTGCTCTTTTGTATTCCAGTTGTATTAGTGGTATAATCCTGATGTCTGGGAACTGTTTATAGCTGGCTGAAGAGATGTTTGTTTTAAATGGTTTATACATTTCAGAGAGAGACTTTCATTAGAAGAGATCCGCTTTCTCTCAAAGCCTCTTTCTTACAATGTACCTTGGTTCTAAGAATACTGAATTCAGCACTAGAATCCATCTTATTTTATGGTATACAGCTGACAGAGAACTGATCTAATTAAATACTGGATACCTATATGTTCATACCAGAACAATACAAATGAATATATTGACTGTAGGTGTGAGTGGTTGTGTCTGTATGTGCCAGGCAGTGGACTGGTGTCCCATCCAGGGTGTACCCTGCCTTGCTCCTGCTGCTCACTGGGATGGGCTCTGTCTATCCCATGATCCTAAGTAAGAAGAGGCGACCCTAAGTTAGAAGTTAGAAAATGGATGGATGTTGTCTTGTTTCCTACTTAACAAACCAACCAATAATATTAAGTGTAATCTGATTTGCCACAAGCCACCATTTGCAACATCCTAACAATGTAACATTCACAGTACATACAGGTTTAACTACAACACCATTAGAAGTTTCTCTTGGGGACTTCCCATTGACTCTCTTCCTATTTTTAATTGTTCTCTTATCTGTTAAAATGAAGCTGGACACAGATACATTTAAATGTATATTTAAATGAAAATGTCATTTGATTTATAAGTCATTACATTTTCTGTTGGTCAGATGTTCTATCGTTGTAGAGGTATTTTCTGAATTTTATATCTGTATTGATAGGTAAACATGGCACTCCTACACACAAAACGTTTTTTAATCCCTGCTGTTGACAAACATTATTAAAAATGTATTCCACAACCTAATTCCACATTAGGACATTTGGAATCATGATATATTTCATTGCTATTTCTCCTCAATAACAGCTTTAATTGCAAGCAATAATTACTCAGTATTAGGAAACATACTTTGTATGTTTATGATTATTATATAATGGTTCTTTATCTTTTTGACTGTTCATTGTCTTTTTGACCCTTGTTAATCTCTCATTTTTGGTGCATTCTGAAATCTAAGGATTTTTCTTTCTATCAAACTATTCAATCCATCTTAAATCAGTGTTTCTCCAACTTCTCAGTTTTTTTATTTTTCCTGCAGTTCATTAGAATTGTTCTTGTGCTGACATTTTGAATTTCTGTTTTCTCAGGCTGTTGGGAGCTCATTCTGACCACTGAGACATTTGCTTGTGTGAGATGTGGCTTTATTATAGGTGTTTAGAGTTATCTGAACTGTTTCGATTTGCAATAGATATATCACTGAACCCTTTGAAGTGGGAAGCTGTGCCTGAACACTTCAATTGTTTGTTTTTTTTCTCACATCAGTGGGAAATGAAAAATCATCCAGAAAATCTCAGGTGCACCTACATTCATTTTTATGCAGACAGTATAAATAATAAAAAGAGAAAACACAAAAGTAAAATACAGATACCCCTATCGTTACTCTGTGTCACTGTTTTGTGTAAGGTCTTAGTAATAATTAGAGTCGACGAAACACTTACTAAGTATTAAAACATCTTTTATCAATAACAATGACATATCAACAGTGGGGTTAATAGTATGTCTTGCCTTTCCCTGCCTTGTATAACAAAACAGCATAATTGATTTACAATCATCCTTACCCTTATCCTTAATCCTTATTGTACGTTATTGTATTGTAGTATTTTTTTGTATAGTTTATAGCACAGTATCTGTATAAGGGAGGCCTAGAAAGTGAGTTTTCTGGACATTTTTGCAGAAACCCTTTTTGAATGGCCTGCACTCAGAGGGATTCATGTCTGAGAATCTAACAGGCTTTAACGCTCTTACACAGTTTCTGCTGTAGATCTTATATGACCTCAGACCACAACATCCACAAATACTGATAGAGTATATCGTATAGAAATGATAAGTTACTTCGTATCCTGTTGACTGTGTCCATCTAGTGGTCATAATCATACAACTTGTCATAATAGATAATATTGGAAAGTGCTGCTGGGATGCTCCCGATCTAGCGGATTTCATGCATTACCATCAGTATCAATTCCTAAAGTGTGGAACGGTTCAGCTCTGATCAGTTAAAATGCTTAAATTAATACCTTAATTAAACAATTTAGAGATAATATGGGAACAATTCTGAAGGCCCCAGAGTCCACTTCATTGAACAAATCACTTGCTTAACTTATCAAGAACTTCCATGTTTTCCAAATCTTTAAAAGGAAATTGTGGATCTAGAGTGACCTACTGTATAAGACAAACAGGACCACAGCTCCCCAGGACCAGGGCTGGAGACTCCACATGCAGTGTAGTGTGGGGCTTCACAAACAGCAGGACACAACGTACATGCAGCGAGTGGCAGTGCTCATTGTCCTGCATATCGGCTTCCACACACATTCAAGCACATCAGCTGCCATTCGCTGGGGAGGGGGGCTCACACTCATCCTCGCGGTGTCTTTCAGGAGCTGAAACTTGTCACTTTGGTGGCCTTGGCTGTAATAACAAAGCCGTTAAAAGCCCAAAGCACAGCGGTCCTTTTACTGGTTTTAGTTGTCCTCTCACTGTCGTGCCTTCTTTGAAGATTCATTTTTGTGACCCCTCTGTTAATAAGCACCCTGGGAATGGTTAAAAACAATTAATCTTTTAACATACAGAAGCTGTCTTCAAACTAAGTACTCAGTCGTCCAGTAGCTGGTTTGATAACATGAAATGAAGTGATTGGCGTCTGTCTTTGCCTTTTGAATTTTATATGGTGGCTTCTATCAGCTCTCTACACGCATTTCTCTGTCCATTTATCAATTGCAGTTTTTTTTTCATTTTTGGTTTACCTATTTCTTTAAAGATCAAACGCATTTATTCAATTGTATGAACTTGCAAAAATCAAAGCAGAATGCATAATTCAGTTATTGCATTCAATTAGCCCTTAACTGTATGTGAAAAATAAGGAAAATAATTTAATTATCAAAAGTACATTATTATAAGATTTTAAACTTGTGTGAAGTGATATATATATATATGCAGTCAGATATATGTGCGAAGCAGAACTGATCCCAGGCTAGGAGATGCAGACCCTGGAGGCGGCAGGCGCTTCGGCGGGCCGATGTACGCGGTACCGATACCGATACCGATACCGGTACCGGTGCCGGTGCCGGTGCCTGCTGTAGTCTGGCACTGCTGCGCCTGTGTGCAGATGGAGACTAGGCAGCGCTCGGCGCAGCGAGCGGAAGTGAGCGAGTCGGTGCTGGTTGGTTTGGCGCCGGTGGAGGGAGTCATTCCTGCAGCAGCACTTCCGGTCGGCATTTTGTTCTGCGAGAGGGAGAGAGAGTCTGAGTGGACCCTTTTATCACCGCGTCAGTCGTCTCTGAATTTTTTCTTCCCCCCTTCTGATTGTTTAAAAAAAAAACTGTCGAATTTTTATCACAATCCCCCCCCTTCCTCCCCGCGGTTGGCGTGAAGACGGAGGACAGCCCGGACGAGCCGATGTTTTTCTAGTTTCTCCAGTCCGAGCCTACATGTTTGCAGTGAGACGGAAGAAGAGCGAACCCTCCCGACCCGGATTATTGTTGTTATATTATTTCTCGGAGGAGCTGTGAGGGAGAGAGAGAGCGAGGAGAGAGAGAGAGAGCGAAAGGCACACACTCGGACCGTTTACAGCCCCCTTTTTTTCTTTTTCTTTTTTAACGAAGAATTCTGAGGTAATTATTATTATTATCATTATTTTGACGAAGCGTGTCCGGGGATTTGACTCGATCTCGATCGGCGTGGTTTTGCGTTAAGTTGAACTTGTGAGCAAGCCGTTGGTGGATCTGTAGGGTTGGAGGTGTTTTTTTGTGTGTGGCGGTTGTATTGCGCTGTGCCCGCCGAGAGGCGTCGGGCCGCGGGTAAGCCTCGCACTCCGAGTCCGAGGATCCGGGTAGCTGACAGAGGCCGAAACAGGCCGCTGGGAAACAATAAAAAAACAATAACCCTTCACATGATCGAGCCTGAAAATAAACCAGCATACCAAGCTTGTGTGTAGCTGTCGCGGAGGACAGATCCGATTGTTTCTTTTTTTGTTCAGAAACTGTGCTCCGTCAGAGGGTAATTATTAGTTTTGAGTTGTTTGAGGATCACGGCTACAAAGCGGGGGTTATTACTTCAATTTGGCTGAAGAAAAAAAATGGTCAACACCTTTCAAGATGTCGGTGTTTTTATATTTATTTGATATTCTTCTGCATTTGTTTAGGGTTGTAAAAACCCAGTATTCCTCACAAACAAGTAGAAAAAATATTTTTTTGATTCGTTGTGCTGAGGGTTGTGAACAATGAGTGCAGTTATTAAAGGATCGCTACATAGTTGGGATACGGATATGGATTAAGGGAGCCCACGTACATAAAGTGCGAAAAACAGCAACTTTTGTGTAAAGTTTTTTTTAAAGCGCCAGAATTGAAAATCTAGATGTCACCACTGGTCGTGGAAATTAAAGAGGAATTATGCTAATGGCATGCTGATTAATGCGTCCTGTCTAAATGAGAAATCCCACCTGAAGACTTCAAGGATCTTGCATATTGCAGATTTCCTGAGGAAAAAAAATGAAAAGTGCTTTGAAATTCAGAATTTAGTCAACTTTGTTTTGGAGTGAGGAAAAAGTAGATGCGGCAGAAACTTAAAACCGTGTTAGTGGTCGTTTGCATCACGGCTGATCGCGTTCGGTTTTCCCTCTGAAGTATTAATTTCTACTTTTATGCGCGTTTTGGAAGTGAAACGTGCGGCACGTCTCCGGCTGTGGCCGCAGGAGCGATGCTGTCTTGTCAGTGTCGGCCTGCGTCTGTGTTTCCTCGCCGGTGTGTGAATGCGTAATGAGAGGGGTGTCATCTAATTAGGGCAATGCACTGTGCAGCGCCTGGAGCTGCCGCCGTGTAGCTCGCTCGCTAGCACCTGGAGCTGGGCTCTAGCAGGTAACGCGTTCGTCCGCATTGCTCTGGGACTTCTGTTTACATCCATGCACGGCGGATCTTTAAAAACATAAAGGACGCATCTCACCATCATTGAGGTTTGAACGAGTTTTCAGTCTGCGTGGAAGGAACATACCTAGGTTTCAATGCAAGACTTAAGTTTATTATTTTTTTGGTGGTATTTTTTGTTTTGCATCGAGCGGACACCTTTGACGCCAGGTTAGAAGTTAGTGGCTGATTGCGTTTTTTTTTTGGTTACGCTTTTGACAACGGAAAGGGCGTTGATGTCTTTATGTAACCGCGTCTCGATTCACGTTTCTTTGAGAAAGTTGTGAAGCGGTGTTTTCAGACGCGAGAGGAAGGCTCGGAATCGGGGAGGGCGAGAGCCGATCTGTCCGCAGGTCCGCACGGATCGATGTGTCGGTTGACGCCTGCCACAGGGACCTAGCTTTCTGAATTTTAAAAAGCCCGTGAATCCCGCTGTGCCCCTGTCCAGGCCTCCTTCCCCTCTAATCTCAGATTCCTGTCTTTGTGCCGCCTGCCTGCTCCCATCTGACGAGTCTGTTTGCTGCAGGACTTCGGGCCCAGCGAGGAGCGCCCGTTTTTTGTTTTTGTTATCCGGACCGTCTTCCAAGCAGATATTTCCTTCGGTCGTGGCGGAAAGTGCAGCGAAGACGAGGTGTTTGAAAGCGGTTTGCGTGGGTCCCGATGGTTTTCTGCCTTCCCCGCTCGGGCACACAGGGCTGCTTTCAGACGGCACAACAACGCCCCAGTGTGCTGAAGAACGGAAGACGGTGTTGCCGTAGAAACAAATTAATAATAATATAAAACGCACGAAGACTTTTAAGCGCGATGCCATTTCGCGTGATTTCTTTTTCCACGGAGTAACCCGCGACGGTACAGCCCAAACGAGGCGGTCGCTGGTTTTAAACGCCCGCAGCCATAGGTCTTCACTCGGGGTTGAGGCCTGGCGACATTTTCATCGGGAACTTATCGAGCAAACTAAACCGCAACTTATCAAGACACGAAGAAGACTGAAATCGCAGTTGAGATGTGAATTGAGTACAATTTTTCACAGCGCTTCGATCCTGTCCGCTCCCTGAATTGTTTCATGTTCGCGAGTCCTATTGATACGGTGCATGATCAATATTGAGGCATCCCCCCCCCCAAGCTTTTCGTCATGTCCGTCTTCAGTATTTATGACACTTCCCAAAATGCGTTTATTTTAAAGAGCGGCTCTGTACCTTAAGTCTAGCTCGACGTTACTGCGGTGCAAAATTGTTGCATACTAGTACACCATTAGTGAGATCTCCCAGGGGTGGCGGCGCAGACCGAAGGAAAGTGAAAGTGCTGTTTGCAGTGTGATTCGTGAGATAGTCACCGAAAAAGCACAAGGCGTGAGAAACGGGAATCGTGTCCCAGGCTCTCGTTTCGGGGTGCTGGTGCGCAGTGTTATTGTGTTTTGTGGTCCGGAGTGAATTGTTGACGTTTGTCCGAGTGGAGCTGGTTTGCATAGCGCTGCTTCCCCTGTTGCAGCTGAAGGGCTAGCGAGCATTTCTCCTCCACGAATGGGACCCCTTTGAAATTCACGGTTAAAATAAGGGGTTCATTAAAAAAAATGGTTAGGCAGTCTTTCTCTTAACATTAGGGATATCCAAAAATGATAAAAGGATTTACAGCATGTTGTATGCAGGTCTGATAATATGTAAATAAACGGCGACTGTTCTAGATGGGTTGTTATTTTAAAGAGGGAAAGTGTAGAACGATTGCATTTTAAATCGTGATTTCCGAATACAATTTAGAATTATGTTTAGGACTCGATTTCCTTACACTTACATAGAGTAAATAAGTAAACAAGTCTCTTTTTGGGGTTATAAAGCTAGCTATAAAATGAGCAAGAACCAAAGGTTAAAATGTGCTGATACGCAGAACAAATACTATTTTTTGAAAATGTTCTTGTTTTAATTCTCCTGCCTTTTGTTTTTACACTGTTACATCATGTAGTGTCCCACTTGTTGCCTACTGATTGGTAGTATGTTAGCGCTAATTCCTCTTGTTTGACTATAGAATGTCTTTTTGCAAAGTTTGAGGTAGGAAAGTACAGAATGTTCAGAACCACCTGAAAAAAAAAGTTAAATAAGATTCATTTTCATGCATTCTTCTGTGTTTTGGAAAATGTTATTTTGATTATATCGTTTCTAATTTTTTTTATCTGTTTTTTTTTTCTTCACACAATATCCATTACGTTAGAACATTTGTGATTTTAGAATAAATGTCCACAAAAGTGTGGGAATGTAGATTGTATACAAGCTCTTATTCTGTTCTGGTTGAGATGGCAGAGGCGTAGGAAGGCCTCTGACTGTGTACTGATTATCTCATTAACACAGAGGGTAGGTAACAGAGGAGCTACCCCCCAAGTGGAGAAGCTTTACATTGCTGCCTTTGAAACAGATGTTTTTTGGAGCACCAAACCTTGAAAGTTCAAGCATTTATAAATAGATCAAATATTTGAGGAATGCTCTGAAACTTCATGGAAATGGCCAAATGGCAATGATTTGGGTATTATCCTAAGCATAGTGTAGGTCCTGTCAGCACCTAGGCCATTCTTTCTAGGCAGTGGGTCTTTTCATATTTGCATTGCCTTAAATCAGTTGTAATCTCTCGGGGACATCTTTGACAGCTACTTAATCGACTTTTAACAATGGCTTGCACCAGATCTGCTGCTAGCAGGTGGGGTACTTAGTAGGTCCATAGCACTGGTATGTTCCTGTGGTTCCTGTATGTTGTAGTAAGGTGAACAAGTGAATGTAGTGTTTTTGACCATTTTGTACTTTGCGAGAGCTAGAAAAGTCTTTGTTGGCCTATGTCATGTCAAGTTGATTTTATTGTCAAAAGGCCCTGGCATTCTTGGTAATGCTGGCTGAGTCTTAAGGTTGGATTTCTGGAAATCTTATGTATAATTACCCATTATTAGAACTGGTATAATTAATAGTTACTTGAGTCATTAAGAAAATAATGGCAATGTTTTTTTAGGTATTCAAATTAACGTTTGCCTTCATACTTACCTCACTGCCTCTAAGGCCACGTGTTCGCCTTGTGCTCTAGTACTGCTGCCTGGTCATTCATATTTTACAACATTGAGGACATACGTTCACAATTTAGATTTGTGTTTAAGTATTAGAAATGCGAAAACATTTTTTTTTTAGCTTCTGCTAGTCATTCACAGTAAAACTTCCCTTAAATAGGTGACCTCATGGGTGCCTACAGGCATCCCATAACAAATGCTGATTTTGGTGGTTTTTCCAAGTGTAAAACTCTAAAACTCGAACATCTTTTCTTTGGGTTTTTGTGCCTTTTGTGTGTCAGTTCTAAAGTACTTGTCCATAGGTGTACTGTAAAACAAACATCTATAGATGGTATATGGCAGCCTTTTAGCTGTTTAAATAATAAAGCGCTTTTCTAGACACTCTACGTAAAGCGCTTTACAGGTAATGGGGATCCCCTCCACCAGCACCAGTGTGCAGCCCCACCTGGATGATGCCACAGCAGCCCTACACTCACCACACACCAGCTACATTACAGTATTTTACCAGATTGTTTGTGGTGTTTAACTGCTAAAACAAAAGTGAATGCTGATATGTTATAAAGATGTAAAAGAAAGTGAATATACTACATTCACTTGTTTTCCACCACCTTTGTTGATTGTTGAAGTTTTTAAAGATGGCACTTCATTATTCTGGCAGGCAGTCTTGAATGTACAC